GCCAGCTTTAAAACTTTATTAATCGTGTTTAAGAGCTGTTTAAGAGTTGTTTCATTAATCAGTTTTCAAGAGAAGTTTTTCTACAACAAGAGCAGGCTTTCAAATTCTATTGAGATCATTATTTCTTCAGCTCTTCTTGTTCATTGAGAAGTTTTCTAAACTCTTTCCTATATAGCTTATTATTTCACTTTCATTTGATTAGCTATATTTATTGAGTTATAGTTATTGAGTTTCATTCACTATTTTCACACACACTTATTGAGCTTAATATTCTCATATTATATATCGTGGGTTGTGGGGTGTGATTTAGTGAGTGTGAGCTTTATTGTGTTCTCACTTGTTAATTGAGAACAAATCATTGTATTTAACTTTTATTTGTGAGAATCACTTGTAATACACTTGTACACCGAGAGAAGTGTGAGGAGAGAGAGACGGGGTCAAATCCAATAGGAGTGGCGTCGATTGACGAACCTAGGGAGAGGTTGTAATCGAGCACTTGAGGAGGAGGACACGGGCTAGATTCCTACACTTAGTGTGTAAAGTGTGATTGTTGAGTGATTGTGTAGTGTGAGAGTTTTCGGTGAACTTGTAAACCGAGTGTGTAGAAGTTCCGGCTTCCAAACCGGATTGTGATAGTGGATATCTCCTCGAGGTGAGGAGCGGGGACGTAGGTCGTGGGGACCAAACCTCGTGAACATATTGTGTATTTGTGTTTTGGTTGGCGTACATATTATTCATCCTTATTGCTCATATTCATATCATATTTATTCTTGCAAGAACAAATTGATCAACAAATTTTTAATTGCTATTAATTGGGATTAGATTAGCATAAGACCCTAATCACCCCCCTCTAGGGTCCAACAATTAGTATCAGAGCTTGATGCTCTTTGATTTAAGGACTAACCGCCTTGAGTTAAAGATCCAAGTTATTGCATTTGTGCTAATCTAATTTTAATTACATTGTGCTTCTTGCATTTCATCTATATGGATATGTATGATAGGATATGCTATTAATATTGCTCCTCGTTTGGATATTTTTCCCTATGCTCAATGGCGCATTAGATTCAAACTTTTTGTTCAATCTAATCAATTTGATTTGTGGGAAATTATTGAGGATGGTTATGTTATTCCCATCTTGGAAAAATCCAAATGGTGTGATAATGATAAAAGATTGTTTAACATGAACAAGCTTTTGCTAGGATTTTTGATTAGCGCTTTTCACTCATCGTTTTCTAACAAACTTGCTAATTTTGATAGTGCTTATGCTTTATGGAAACTTATTGAAGCACATGAAGGGAAATTGGAGGCTATTCAACAAGCGTTGGAAAATCCTGCTTTGAGTTCTAAGGAAGCCTCATCCCCATGTACAATACCACTAGGTAATAACCCTAGTGAGGTATGCGATAACGATGATATTATTACTTTTGATGAACTTGCTCTTGAGTTTGAAAAATTACACAATAGCTATATTGATGTAAAAAGTAAGTATGTTAATATGAAATCCATTCATGAAACACTAGCTACTAAGTTTAATTTTATTGCAAATGAAAACATAATTCTTAAAGAATGCAATGAAAATTTGAAAATTGAAAATGCTAGTTTGCTTCATGAAAAACGTGATGCTATGTTAGAAGTAGATAAGTTGAAATCTATGATGAGTAATCTCGTTTATTCTAATTCTAATAGTAATGCTTGTATGCACAATGATGAGTTGAATCAAATGAGAAAAAGAATATCTACTTTAGATTCAACACTAAACACTTGTATTGCTAATAACAAAAAGCTTATGGACTTATGTGCAAAGCTCAATGTTAGTTCTTCTAAGAAACCTATTCACTATGCACATATGTATGAAAAAATTCACAAATGTTCTATTTGCGGTCTTAAAGGCCATCTAGCTCAATTTTGTCATAATGCACCAAAAATTAACAAGCCTATTCATGATTGTGCATCCCATCAAGCTTCTACATCACATACACATGTACACACACATAGTGTAAATCATAAACATGCTTATGTGTATAAATGTGATTATTGTGGTCGTTTTGGTCATTTGGCCATGTTTTGTTTCGATTTAAAAAGAAAATTTCGTTTGCAAAATTATTACAAAGAAAAATCTATTTTTGCAAATAAATCACGTGCATTCTATTTCGGTCAACGTAAACTATTCAAACCTCTACATTGCACAAATTGCAATCGTATGGGTCACGTTTATAATTTTTGTTTTGATCGTATTGGTGCACAAAACACGCCCAAACAGGTTCATAACCCTAGGGCCTTGGATTTAAATGATAGGGGTCATGTCCCAAGTTCTAATGGTACCAAAATGATTTGGGTACCAAAAAGACTTATATAGTATTTTTAATGATTTGTTTTGTTTTTGTTTTGAATAATTTCTTTTTGGCTTTGAATGAAAAATTATATTCCTAATGTTAAAAATAAATTATTTGCATGATTTCACAATTAAAAATACTTATATATACCTTACAAAACTTTAAGTATTTTATAAAACATATTTCCAAAAGGTCTATTTTATAAAATCTCTCAAAAACAATTTTTCCCTTTACCTGTATCCTCTATTTTCCCTCGGTCGACCGACCCAGTCGACCGACGATCTTTCTGTAATCGATTCGGTCGACCGCGTCGGTCGACCGAAATGAAATTGTTTTTAAACCCGAACTCTACATCACCATTAAATCTTCATCTACTCTAATCTCAACCGTTGTTCCCTCACTCAAAACACCCGACTCTCCTTCTTCCTCCCATTCTGAAATCGCGACTTAGGGTTTCAGTTTTTCGGTCGCCCGTTTGTGATTCAACCGCTGTCACTCTCAATTGATTCTCATCAGTTTTTGTGGGTAACTTCTCCCTTTACCTTTTGATTTCTGAGTTCTTATGTCTATTTTCTCATCTAGGGTTTTAGTTTTAGGGCATTTTGTTAATTTGCTCTAAATTTATTTTTGTTTACAGGAAGTTGATAATTTCTGTTATCTTCTCATAATCATGCCTCCTAAACCCCCTAAAAAGAGATCAAAACCAGAGTCTAGTTCCTTATCTATAAAAGCCTCACATTATGAGGATTATCTACTCTTTAAATCTCTTGTTAGGAAATACAGAGAACTGTGCAAATTGAAAATCATTCCTACCAGATATATCAAATATTCTGAGTTATTCATGTATAACACTGAGTCTATCCTTCACAATGTTGGGTTAGACAGGTTGCTAGATGAGGGACATAAAGTTCCTTATTATCCATTTCTTGTTTATCTGTTTTATGCGAACCTGTCCACAACATCTTCTGCTGATGGTAGTTTAACCATTACATCATCAGTGAAAAATGTTGAAATTACCGTTTCTGCAAACGAACTTGCGGGGATTCTTAATATCCCAACAAGTGACGTTCATCTCATGTCTGTTGATGTTGGTAATCCAGATGTTAACCCACTCATGTTTAAGCATGGTTGCTCTTACCCTATGAGCAACAATTCTCTTAATCCTAATGCAAGACTCATTGCCAGAATTATTGCTCAGAACTTAATTCCCAAAACCGGTAGCTTTGATCATTTCGCTTCTGATAAAATTAATGCTGTTTACGCCATTTTTGCCAAAATCAAAGTAGATTGGGCAACTATCTTT